AGAAAGCAGGAGGGGGGGGGGGCATCAAAAAACTGCGCGCGCAGGTTGAATGTGGGTGTTAGTTCAGCGTGTGCTTGTGCTGGCTTTTTTGAAGCCCCGTTTGCAAGGGGTCCCAGCGCAGTAGGGACTCAGCTATTTGCTGAATGGTTGGATTTCTTGGGAGGGCCTCAGGCAACAGCTGCGGGCCAGCTAACGGTCGTGGACAGAATTCTCAGTTCCCGGGAGAGTGGATCCCCTTGGCCCGGGGTTTTTCTTTAATTTTTCCCAGGGGTGCCAGGAGTCAGGGTGCGGTCAGGCTTCCGGTCTCCCAGTGCTTCCTGGGGGTGGGGGTGCAGACAGGTTAGTTGTCAGAAGTGTGTTGTCCTCAGGAAGGCCCAAGAGAGCCACCTGTGTTCACTCTGACCTCTGCCCGTGGGCCCAGGCAGTGCGGAATCAATCCAAGAAAGACCTGTTTGTATTCATGAACTGGCAGGAGTTTGGACTGACAGATTTGAAGAGGACTTTTGATCACTATCTGTGGAAACAAGTATTTTCCGCCAGGTCTTATAATTGAAAGACCTTCGATGTGTCAGAATCAAGCCCATTAAGGTTTCATGTGGGAATTGGATAGGCTGGTCGATAATTTTTTCTTCTCTTTGTCAGTTTGGTTTTTAATTTAGTAAAGGACTCTGTAGTTACATAAGTTTAACAGTGCTAAATGTGTAGTCCCGCAAGGCATGTGGCCAGGAAGGGGGCTTTATTCACGCTGGTTTTATTCAGCGCTGTGTGTAGGTTCACGGGTCAGGTGAAAGCCACGGTCAGGGGTGGCAGAGAGGAGCAGTTTTCATCACTGTGCCCAAGTGAAAAATTCTGAAACAGGTTCCTTATTGATTAGCTGTGTGACTGTGGGTGGTCCCGTCGTCTCTGCGGGCTGGACATGGGGAGGGGAGGGCCCAGCCTGCTGTCTGCTGCATCCCAGGCCCAGCTCAGTGCTAGGCACAAGGCAGTGCCTAGTAAAAGCCTATTAATGAGTGTATTCTCTGTTGTAACCGGTTACTGTAAATCCAGTGACTTAGAACAACACAGACCTATCCTCTTACAGTTCTGGAGGTCAGAAGTCTCAGGTGAATCTTACTGGGCTGCATACAGTCAAGGTGTGGGCTGGGCTGGTTCCCTCTGGAGGCTCCACGGGAGAATCGTTTTCTTGCTTTCTCCAGCTCCTAGGGGCTCCTGCACCTCTCTGCAGTGGCCCCACTGATCCTCGAAGAGCGCGCCCCCCAGCCTTAGCTCCGGATGCCACGCCTTTCTGACTGTGGCCCTCCTGCTCCATGTCCTAGGGACCTTGTGATTACAGTGGCCCTGTCCACATAATCCAGGATAATATCCCCATCTTGAGATCCTTACGTGAATCATATCTGCAGAATCCCTTTCTCACTGCTAAGGTAAGGAAGTCACAGGTCCGGGAGTTAGGATGTGAACTTCTTGGTTATGCAGCATGCTACACAGGTTTGTAAAAAGTACTAAGTGCACAAGTCCCTAAGGGCCCAGTTCACAGTCCAGGGAATAATTTGCCCTGCCTGGGCCCCTCCCCCTTGTGCTGAGCCCTGCCCGGTCTCCTGGCTGAGCAGTAGGGCCTCTTCCCTGGTGCTCTCCCCACTCCCATCTGTTTCCCTCCTGGAGACTTTTTTTTTAAGTTTATTTATTTATTGTGAGAGAGAGCGAGTAGGGGAAGGGCAGAGCGAGAAGGAGAGAAAGAATCCCAAGCAGCCTCCGATGCAGGGCTCGATGCAGGACTAGAACTAGAACTGGAAACGAACCCGAACTAACGAACCTGTGCCGTGAGATCACGACCTGAGCCAAGAGTCTGGACGCTTAACTGAATGAACCACCCAGGCGCCCCTCCCTCCTGGAGACTTTTCAAAGTGCTTGCTCAAGGCTTTTTCTTTTAGGCTCAGGGTCAGCAAAGTTTTCTTACCTGTGGCCACATGGGGGTATCACACATTCTTTGTTTTTTTTAAACAAAGGTGAAAACGGATTTAAAAAATCATTCTTAGCTTGAGGGCTTTATGACAGACAGGCCATTGGCCGGTCGCTGACCAGTGTCTGCCACCCCTTGGGGACTGGGACTGTAAGCTCTGTGACGCAGGCTCCACATGTTGCCATCACCGCCCACCCTGGAAGTTTCCAGGGCTTGTTAGTAGTGTGGGGTGTGTGGGTGTGGTGTTTTGTATTTTTATCTGCATGATCTTTTGATTTGGTAGAAGTGTCTAGAAGTTAGATCTCTTCTGATCGTAATAGAGAATTTCAAGTTGACTTACATTTGATAGCCTGTTAAATGCCACTTAATTCTGATGAAAATGAAATCTAGTCCCTGCCCTGAGTGTGGGGGAGGGATGTTGTTCCTAGCTGGGACTTTGGGGCCTGGCAGGGCAGAAACTCCCTGGAGCCAGCTCCGGGGAGGGAAATTTAAAGAAAGGGGTATGTTATGGAACCCCTGGGCACCAAAATCAGAAATTGGACACGTTTGGCCAGTTTCCATTCCTGGTCACTCTGCTCCTGGCACACGAGGCAGGCGCGTTGGGGGAGGGTTGCTGGCATGTAACATGGAAACTTGGGAGCTGTGAGCACTTTCGAGCGTTTCTGGTTGGTTTCTTCATGGAGGCTGATTCTCCTACACATCTCTTTCACTGTCAGGATTCCTTGAATGAAAGAGTGGATGTTCCCGGCTTTGTGTCAGAACCAGCTTGGTTCACACTTGGCGTGGCGCCAGGCTCCGTGTGATGTCACTGTCCCCTGGTTCGCTTTTCTTGGCCTCGGTTTATAATTGATCTTTGCCTCTTTGCCCCTTGCGCTTTATACAAAGTCTTGGATCATAATATATAGGGTTTTATCTGAGAGTCATCTCTGGGGGTGCAGAACACTTTGCCAGCACACTGCACGTGTTCCCTCTGGCCTGCGTGGCTTCGGCATAGTATAAGACGGCAAAGCGTACTGCTGCGGCCACCAAGGTCTTTTTATTACCAGTGGATGTTTTTACGGTTCTCTCCATTTTGTCACTAAAGACATCAGCACTATGCCTAAGTGGATGGTTTAGCTTTCTTCCCATCCATTAATTCCAACGGGAAGTGGTGGGCACTTCTCCGAGTTTATCATGATCAAGTTTTAGAACCTGCGGCCCTGAGTCCCCGGTGCCTGCCATGTGGCACTCGCCCGCCCTCCGCAGGCACACACTAGGTGTTTGAGTGAATGCATGAGTGAGTGAATTAATGCTTTAACGGCCAATAGACTCGGTGAAGCACGTAGGAAGTCAGAAAGCGGCAGGGAGAAGGGGCTTCTTTCTTGGGCGTCCCCTCAAGATTTTCTGAGTGGAGGGGGCGGTGTCATCGCTACGGCCCCCCAAGTGGTCTCTCCCTGGGAAGTCCTTGCTTCCTCTTCTACGCCTGCGCCCCAGAGAACCCCGCTTCTGTTCCCCTCGCAGGTGTTTTTTCTCTGGAGGCTGGTTCTTTAGTTTGAAACACAGCTGTTCCTGAAGACTTACTGATTTTGGTGGCTTCCCTTTGATTTGGTTTTGCTCATCCTTGAAATGAACGGCCTTCCACAAGCAGGTTGCGTACCTCCCCGCTCTGCCTTAGTTTTCACGTTAGGTCGATACAGTGGTGAGGATTTGTTTTTCCATCTTGAAGAGCGGTCCTTGACTTGGCCGGAGGACTCTGTGTGGAAAAGTTTACGTTTCTGTGTCATTGGTGAGCAGTAGACTCTGGTCAGTTCAGACAGAGTAAGACTTCTGAACTTGGGCTGGGGAAGGTACCTACAATGAAACGCTCTCTAAATGTGGGCGAAACAGCCTGTGCACGGTGAGGGTGTTTTTCTGGGGACAGAATCCAGGGCTTTCTTCAGGTCGTCAAGGAGATCCATGATCCCTGAAGGATTCAGCCCCCTGGCTCAGGGACTTTGGCGGATTAACACTCTTTTTTCTTTCTTTTTTTTTTTTTCCCCCCTCTCTTAACATTTCAAAGGCAGATCGGGAGCGGTGCCGAGAAAAATTTCCTTACTAGATGACATTTCATCGCAATGTCCGATCGTTTGGGGCAAATAACCAAGGGCAAGGATGGGAAAAGCAAGTATTCGACTCTCAGCCTGTTTGATAAGTATAAAGGAAAATCAGTAGACGCGGTCAGATCCTCAGGTAAGAACCGGGCTGGAGGCCAGTTCTCTATGCTTTCCCTTCCGTGAGAAACTCCAGGTCCTGAACTGTGAGGACCCAGGGTCCCTGCCTGGTCAGATGGTCTTCGGGGCACGGAGTGGTCACCAGGCAGTTCTGGGGACGTGCAGTCACCCCCTGCTCCTGTTCGATGTCCGATTTCGAGCAGGAATACCCCATCTCTGCCACAGTGGGATTGTTTGCTTAACCGTCTTACCTCGTTGGCCACAGATAGTTCTTCCCCTGTGAGGTAGAATGGAACTGACTTTGCATCAGAGCAACCAGTTTTAGGCTTCGGGGTTCTGACGTTCTGGACCTTTTGTCCACACCCCGGGAGGATTTTGTGGATGTCAAGGGCCCTGCTGAGCCTCGGGCCCGGCCCCGGGGCTAGGTGGAGGCTGGCCCTTGGGTCCTGCCAGGGAGGCCGGAGCAGTCTCAACTTGCGGAGAGGTGGTTACCGTGTGGGCCGGAGGTTTCTGGGCCCGGCTCCCCGCCCCGTCATAAACTCCCCACGCCTGCTCCTGCCCGCTAGTAAAGTGGAAGCCTCTGAAGACCTCAGCAGCTCCCAAGTGTCTGAGGCCTCGGTGAAGGGCTCGTAAAGTGGCAAAAGCAGCTACCAGGCCATTTGGTCTGTTGGCACAGGGCCACCCTTGGTGGTGGTTTGGTCGTCTGTCGTCGTCGCTTAGAGCTTGCGAGAGCTTCTGAAGCTCCTCCCCTGCCCCCACCCCTCTCTCCCTACAGTTATTCCTCGACATGGCTTACAGAGTCTCGGGAAAGTTGCCACAGCCCGGCGTATGCCGCCACCTGCAAACCTGCCAAGCTTGAAGTCTGAAAACAGAGGAAACGACCCCAACATCGTTATAGTTCCCAAGGACGGAACGGGATGGGCAAACAAGCAGGATCAGCAAGACCCAAAGAGGTGGGAGCCGAGGGGGCGGGTGTGGGTGGCGAGCCGGGGCCTCACGGAGCCCGGCAGCTCCCTTTCCTTCTGCAGAAGGCAGAGCTGGAGAACCGGGTGACCCCAGAGGAGGGAGGCTGCCTTTGCTCGGACTCCCCCTGCTTGGTTGGTTCTTCCTCCCTGGCTTCTGGAGCTGATGCAGCCTTGCCTCTGTGGGCCGCCTTGTCCCCAGTGACCAGTGTCCCCTGTGCCTTATTAGGAAGGACCTCCTCCCCCCAGAGGGGCTTATGCAATGCCTCAGAGCCAGTGCCTGAGCCAGTAAGGGCCACTGTGGCCAGAGCGGGTGCTTGAACGCTCCATTCTGGGGCATCCTGTGTGCTGGGCTCCGGGTTGAGGGGGCCGACTTCTAAGTGCGGGGTCAGCGGCGTCCCACACAGACTGCTGCGGTTAGTTGCTCCAAACAGACCCAGTTATGAAGGGTGGCAACCCAGAATCCTCATTATTGGGGGCGGGTGTGCAGCCTCTGTAGGCTCACCCCTCTGCCAGCACACCACCTCCGGGAGCCTTTGGAGGCCCAGGGTCTGGCACAGAAATCCCCATCACGGCAACGGAGTGAATGTCGTGGCTGCTGCCGCGTAGTGTGGCCGGTGCCAGCTCTGCCCCGGGCACGTAACCTGGGCCGTTCCCTCCTGCCCAAGTCCGTGTCCCTCCCCTTCCACTCAAGTCTTCTGGGTGCCAGCCAGGGGAGAGGATTTGGGATTTGCACTGGGAAGGGACCAGAGAGGAATGGGACCCTGATGCTGGGGTTTGCCTGTCGGGGGATGAGAACAAAACTCGGTCCCGTGCGTCTTCCTGCCCTCCATCTCTTGTGCCCTGGCTGCCTGGATCTCTTGGGATCTAGACAGTAAACGACCCAGGGTGCAGCCTGCCAGCCAGTGTCCTTTTCTCTCACCGGGAACGGCCGCGGTAGCTTCTGTAAAACTTCGCGCAGTTACTTCACACAGGATGTAGAGAGTGAGCACGTAACTCGTTCGGATGAGCATAGGGTAGCAGTAACCAAAATAGGGTCTGAAAAGCTGTTTTTAAAACTTCTCCCACGATTTGTTTAGGGGTCATACTGGGCCGGGGGTGTGGCCCGACTTTCAGAGTCAGCCAGGCTACCTATACTACTAGCTTTGTGGAACTCGGAGAATTGCTTGATCGGTGCGCTCCGGCGTCCTTCTGTGCGGTAGGACTACTGCCTTGCCTGGTGGTTGTAAGAAATAGACCGGGCAGCGCGAGTCACGCACCTGGCACAGAACCTGGCAGAGGACACACGGGCAGGTGCCGCTACCACCGCTGTCATTCTAGAGTTCACACGGTAGATGCTACAGGCTCTCTGATGAAACGGACATCGTACATTCCAGCACGAGTGTTGCGATGCCGCTGCTACGGGAAGTTCCAGAGAGAGGACGAGGCATCGCTTCCTCCTTGTATCGGCTCCCACCGACACGGGCACGGGAGGGATGAGGCGGCTTTCGTGGGGCCGGTCGCTCTGAAGCATGCCAGCCAGGGAAGAGGTAGAAACAGAACACTGGACAAGGCCTTGGACCCCAGGCGCCGGTCCTCTGTTGCCCCGGGGCCACATCCTCCTTTGGAGTGTCAGGGAGGTGACAGAGTGAGGGCCACAGCTGCTGGGACTCCGTGCTGAGGTTTGGAGAACACAAAAGCAACACTCGCTGGAAGCTTCTGTTGTAGGTAGGAGGTGAAGTAAGAGATGAGTGGCCTTCATTACGTAGGAATCCTGCCCGGTGAGTTCCTTGGATCACATAAACCCTGGAAGCCTGTGTGTGGAGCATTTGGCTTCAGCTTACTGGGGAGCCCCTGGCGTTGGGTGACTGGCAGAGTAGACTGCTGCCCTCCTTGGGTCCCATCGGGATGAGGGAGTGGGCTGGAAGGCTCTGGGTGAGCAGACGTCTTCCTCAGAGCCCCTTTTTGTTTGGGGACTGTGTCTCGACTCACCCCGCCTTCTGGGGAGCACGCTTGGGAAATATCTCTTAAGCTTCAAAACCTCTTTTGACCCAGCAGTCCTGTTTCTAAGAACTTAGACTACTGGACTACCTACACAAAAGGGTGCCAAGTTATGTGTAAAAAGTGCTCATTGCGGTTTCGCCGGTAATGGGAAAAAAAGATGGGGATTGTTAAGTTAGGGCCTGTCTGGCCGGCTACACTGTGTCACTAGAACAAAGAGGTAGATCCAGGCGTTGTCCTAAAAACATGTTCGATACAGTAAGTAGGAAACAGGTTACGAATTGTATGTGTGGTGTTAAAAAAAATACTATGTTCATATATATATATACACACACACACACACACACACACACACACACACACATACATATATATAGAAGAATCTGCTTGGCATCTCTCTCTGGAGGATGAGATCGTGACAAATCCTGTGTTCTCTATATTTATACATTTATTTTCACTATGGGCATGTATTTCTTCTATAAGCCAGGAGAAGAAAAAAATCACGTCGCGAAGCAATCAGTCCCCTGTACAGCTATGAGCTCTTGGTCAAGAGCGAGGGGCTCAGAGCCCCTTCGCTGTGCTGACTCAGTTTCCCTGTTGGCAGCCCCTGCAGCACCTGTTTGTGGGGAACCTCTAGCCTTTGCAGGAAAGCCCTGCCAGGGGGCCGAGGACCGTCCTGCCCGGCAGACGTCAGCAGGCAGGCCTCGGATGGGGCCCGGCTTCTTGTGGGCTCTGAGGCGTCAGAGGCTGCTGGAGAGGTTCTGTGCTGCCTCTGGGCCACCGAGCAGCGGCCGCTGTGGGAAGCGCGGAGGGGACCGCGCGTGCCCATCTGACCCCTGCGCCCCCTGCCTTGTCCAGTTCCAGTGCGACGGGCTCTCAGCCGCCGGAGTCGCTGCCGCAGCCGGGTTTGCAGAGGCCTGTCTCCAGCTTACAGAAGCCGACACAGTCGAGCAGCCAGGAGGTAGGTGCCGCGTGACCTGCTCCTTCCAGGGGTGAGCCTGGCGGGTGGCTGCAGAAGACGAGCGTGGGAGGTTGTCCTGGTTCCCGGGAGGTGCCTGAACGCGCGGCTCTTGGAGAAAGACCCCAGGTGCGGAACGGAGTACGGACACCTAATTTGCTTCCTGGTGACTTACCTGGAGGCATGGTCGCTGGGGCCAGCTATACGCTAGGTCAGGGTCCCCTGAATGTGCGCCGTGGGGACTGGTTAGGCCACGGGAACGTTTGGGGTCAGGTAAGTTGAAAAAATGAAGCATGCTCCTTTACTGTCACACTTCTCATCAGTGTCTTTAACGTGCTGACGTGTGCTGTGACTCTGTGAAGACGCAGTGGGGACAGCATCCCCCAACTCATTTGTCCTGGGAAATCTTTCTAACTGACTGACTTTAGAGACTACTGTCCCTCAGAACACACTTGGGAAATACTGATCTGTGACCCTTTATTTGTTGACCCTTTATTTGTTGATGCATTTAAAGTGTTTTCCCCGGGGGGGCCTCGGCTGGCTCAGTCAGTAGAGCACGCAACTCTTGATCTCGGGGTTGTGAGTTTGAGTCCCACGTTCGGTAGAGCGATTGCTTGAAAAATAAAGTCTTAAAATAAGTAAATAAATTAAATAAATAAAGTGTTTTCCTAAGCAGGAAGTTAGGATTTAACCGAGCCGGGGCTTGTAATACATTCAGCCCCTCCGAGTCCGTCTGGGTTTCGCGGCCAGCAGGAGGGTGTACTTAGCTGGTAGTTAGAAATCTGGATGAGAGGTCTCCTAATCCTGTAGAAAACCGCAAGGCGCATGGACGGGTACCTAGCATTTGGCAGCTCTCTGGAAGACAACCTGAATGGTTTGCTCTCGTTCTGTACTGTGCCCTGGGCAGCAGAAGGTCTGGGGTGCCACCCAACCACGGGGGACAGTGTATGGGTCTGCCAGAAGGGCACCCTCCCCCATCCAACACTGAATTGTGCCTTTGGAACTAAAGGGAAAGGAAAGAGAGGTCCACATTCATGCGGAACTCTCTATTCATTGGCCTGCATCCATGGGTGCCGTCACGCAGCCAGAGCACAGAGAGTCGAGTCTGGATCTGTCTCCTGGGATCGGCAGCTCAGAGATTGGAGAGCCTCGGTTTGACAGCCCTGGCTGGACGTCCGACTCCCCTTCAGAGCCGCCCGAAGGGTGTCTGTTATGTGGCCGTACCCAAGCACGGCGGGGTCTAGGCTGGGGCCTGGTGTGGTCCCGGCATCTGTCAGCAAACTGCTGGAGGTCAGAGCCCTGTCCTGGGGCTGGCACGCCGCTAGCTCCGTCCAGAGCGCAGCCCTTCCCGCCGTGGTGGGAATGGGACCCCCAGCGTTTCCCAGCCCCTAAAGCCTCGCCTCAGGCATGGCAGCCTTCTAATGGCAACGTTAGTAACCCCTCCTCGGCCCCGGGAGCCCTTCTCTAACCGGTCAGTGCCTCTGGTGGGCGAGGGCAGGGGCATCCTCGTGCGGCCTGCGGACGCCGAGTGGGAGGCTGTGGGACAGGCGGTGCCCCTGTGCCTCCTGGGGACCTGGCAGCCCCGGTGGCACTGCCCTGTGACGTTGCGGGCACATCCCTTCTGTGGTCTGTGTGCGTGTGTGCGGGGGGCCTGTCTGTGGCTACCCCAGGGCGCTGAGGGCAACTCCTGATCGGTAAATGGATCATTACGCCTGGCCGGCTCCACGTGGAAGGTGAGAGACACCGCCGTCTGCCCTCAGCTTGGTGGTACTGGAGGCGGGGGTGCTGAGAAAGGGTGATTATTTAACGTGAGGTCTGACTCAGGAAGTGCTGCCCCAGCTTTGTTTTGTATGTTTGCACCTTCAGTTGGAGGGGAAGGCCGTTGGTCGAATGTTGTCGGGAGGGGCAGATGGGCTCAGTGGTTGGGGACTCCTGGGGCTTGGGACACAGGCAGAGTGGGGCCAAGTCCTGGTCCTGCCCTCTGGGCTGGGCCCGGTCGCTCCTTTCTGAGCCTCCGCTGGGATAGGACTAGAACCTTCCCAGGGTGTGGGAGGATTCGCTCAGGCAGGGTGTACCCAGCACAAAGCCTCGCCCGCAGTGAGTTTTCAGCACGCTCAACCCCTCGGCTTGTGTGCGAGCCAGGCAAGTGTGGACTAGCGGAGGAGGGAGGCCTCTCACTTGAGTAGTTGTGCCTTGGGGAACGACAGTAATTATGGAGAGTGGTGCGGTGGCCCTTCCGGCGGAAGATCAGACACGCCAGCCTCCCGTGCCGATGCTCCTCAGTTCGCAGTGGCACACGGGTTTTGAGACACGTGTTAGAATTGGGGTCTGGTCTTTATCTCTGGAGCAAGGCCTCGTAGCTGCCAGTGTTCCGGAGTGTTGCACGAAGCGGACGTGGGTTGGAGTCCTGGCTGGGCTGTGGAACCAGCCGTGGGAGCTGCCCCCGCCCCCCGCGCCGTGGGCCCAGGCTGCCGTGCCCGGGTGGGGAGCTGGGTAGAAAGCAGGCCGACCGGGCTGGCTTTGTTTTCATTTCCTTCCTTCTTTCAGAACACAAATTCAGTGCCAGGTGGACCAAAGTCATGGGCACAGCTGAATGGAAAGCCAGCAGGACACGAAGGTGGTAAGTGTGGTCGGGTGGCGTTGGGCTGGGTGGGAGGGAGGGAGGAGTGCCTTTTCCGGACGGTTCTGCCCGGGTCTAGGCAGCCCCTGGCCAAAGCTTTGTGGGATCTCTCACCCGAGTGAGCTGCTACCCTGAGGAGCCTTACCTCTGCCCCCGGGGGTGGGGGCGCTGCATCTGCCAGGCCTGTCCGCTCCCTGGTTTCGCTGAACGTTATTACTCCTGACATCCCCCCTGGGGGCTGTGGAGAGGCTGGGCGCTGGCTCTGCTGCTCTCGGACTCCGCCGTGTGGTTGGTGCCCTTGCTACCTGCTCAGCGGTGCGGCCGACACGCGCCTACTTCCTCTCCCTGGGGCCTGCACGGAGGAGGTGTGTGTGGTGTGGGGCGAGCTTCGGGCCTGGGTTTCTAAATAAGCCAGGCCCTGGGAGTTGGGCTGCTTGCTCTTTGGTTGGTGACACCAGAGCATTCACGGCTCACACGGTCCTTGGTACCGTTTATGTCGCGCCCGACACGGGAAGTGTCAGAGGTGTTGCCCGCAGGACCTCAGCCGCGGCAGCTGTGCAGAGGGAAGATGGCGGGGAGGAGCAGGAGGGGGAGATGGTGAGAGGGCTTCCCGGGCAGGCCCAGAGCAGAGGGGAGGGCCCACCTGGGCAGAGAGGGCGGCCAGACTGCTCCACTCCCCACCCCCCAGCCACCACCGATAGCTCGAATGTTTCTAGCACGTTGTACGGACCAAAGTGGGCGATGCCCCCCGTACGGGAAGGAGAGGGCTGCAGGTGGGAGTGGCGGGCCACGCTTGCTCTTCCTCCCACCACCCTTCCCCCACCGGCCTCCCCACCGCGGCGCCCTTGGCCTTCTGCATGCCCCTGGCGGCCAAGACTTCGCCAGCTGCCTTCCGTAGCTCGTGTAGAGAAACAGCGAACATCCTGCCTGCCCTAAACCCTCCGCTCCTACCCAGCACATACCCCTTCAGGGCGGGAGTCCTGTGTGGTTGGAGGCTCTGTCCCCAACACGTCAGTCGTTGTGCCCACTGACGTCAGACTCCGGCTCCTGTGGAGGGGCTAAGGGCAGGAGGGAGCTTTACGGATTCTCCAGTCCGTGGGGTGAGGTGGAGGGGGCAAGATAAGTGGGGGTGGGGGGCAAGGGGAGCGGCGACCAGCATTTCAGTCCCCTAAAATTAGGTCTTTAAAGAGGCCTTTTTTTTTTAAACATGTTTTTTTTTCAACGTTTATTTTTTTTGGGGGACAGAGAGAGACAGAGCATGAACGGGGGAGGGGCAGAGAGAGAGGGAGACACAGAATCGGAAACAGGCTCCAGGCTCTGAGCCATCAGCCCAGAGCCCGACGCGGGGCTCGAACTCACGGACCGCGAGATCGTGACCTGGCTGAAGTCGGACGCTTAACCGACTGCGCCACCCAGGCGCCCCTAAAGAGGCTTTTTATAGAGAGTGCTCACTAGACTGTGTTAACAGTGGTCTTTGCTTTCTACAGCTTTTACTCTGTGGGTTAGGATTTTTTAAAGTAAATCACATGCATTCATTTTTATTTAAAAAGAACTGCAGAGGGGTGCCTGGGTGACTCCGTTAGTTAGATGTCCGACTTTGGCTCAGGTCATGATCTCGCGGTTCATGAGTTTGAGCCCCATGTCGGGCTCTGTGCGGACAGCTCGGAGCCTGGAGCCCGCTTTGGATTCTGTGTCTCCCTCTCTCTCTGCCCCTCCCCCACTCGCACTCTTGTCTCTCTCAAAAATAGACATTAAAATTAAAAAGAAAATAAAAAATAAAACCTGCAGAGAGAGTATTAAAAAAATACTAGAGTAGGGGCACCTGGGTGGCTCAGTCAGTTAAGCGTCTGACTTCGGCTCAGATCATGATCTCGTGGTTCGTGGGTTTGAGCCCTGTGTCGGGCTCTGTGCTGACAGCTCGGAGCCCGGAGCCTGCTTCAGATTCTATGTCTCCCTCTCTCTCGGCCCCTGCCCCCCTCTGTGTGTGTATGTGTGTCTCTCTCTCTCTCTCTCTCTCTCTCCCCCCCCCTCTCTCTCTGTCAAAAAGAAAACAAACATTAAAAAAAACAATACAAAGAAATACTAGAGTAAATTGGTACAGCCCCTTGGTGGGCAGCTTGGTGCTATCAGAATACTAATGTGTGCACCCTTTGACCTAGCATTTCCACGTGGAGGAAGATCACCCCAGAAATGATGCTTCCCGATGTGAGAAATGGCGTATATTCAAAAGATACTCATTGCAAAATTGTGGTAGGGAAAGATGGGAAACAGTCACTTGAAATGTCCATTAAATGTTGGTGCTTTAAAGAAATACTACTTGCCCCTAGGGAAAAAAAAAATAGTAGTTTTCCACGGATCTGGCAAGATCTCTAGGATATATTCTTAAATGAAAAAAAAAGTTCAGAATAACATGTAGAGTATGCTACTATTCATGAAAAAAAATTGGGACAAGGGAAAGTGTACTTATAGAAAATGTACGTGCCATCAAAAAAAAAAAAAAAAAAAAAGTCTCCGGAAGGAAGCCTGAGAGGGAGGGGGGAAGCCGCCTGTGTTTTCTCAGGGCGTCAGAAGTAGGCAGGTGGGCACGCAGGCAGGAGGGAGTCGTCTGTTTGTACTTTTCTATGCTTCTTACTTTTGAACCATGTGATTGTGTTTCTTATGAAAAATAAGTGATCTAGAAAAGAATTCTAAAACACAGCAGCACCTTCTGTAAATGTGTGATTGCTCATCTGGGAGGCAACAGGGCCCGGGAGCCCGGGAGGAGGGACAGATGCATCCTAGGCCTCTGCTAGGGCTGAGGTGGGAGGAGCCCCCGCGGTTCCCCGTCCTGTGCTGCCGTCACGAGTCTGTGGTGCCATCAGGGCGGTGGGCACTTGGTGGTGTTACCCACACACATGTTCAGACTCTGCAGTTCAGAAGGGCTCTTCCTGCGTCGATAGACCACTGCACGGAGAGTGGTGTTTGGGTCTGTTGCAGCTGGGTCAGACCGGGGCGGGGTGGGCGGCCTGACTGGTGCGGGTGGAGGCCAGGGGGATGGTTCCATCTGGGACCTTAGAAGAAGCCCCTGACATTCCAGCCTCAGATTCTCACGGCAGAGATCACATAGCACGCGGCATTGGTGGTGAACGTTGTAGAGCACTGAAAACCTTAGGAATGCTACTGCTTTGGCTTGAGATTTTGGGTTCTTTGTCCTTCTGGTCTGTGGAAGGGAAGTTTATTTATTTTTTTTAATTTTTTTTTTTTTAACATTTATTTATTTTTGAGACAGAGAGAGACAAAGCATGAACGGGGGAGGGTCAGAGAGAGGGAGACACAGAATCGGAAACAGGCTCCAGGCCCTGAGCCGTCAGCCCAGAGCCTGACAACGGGGCTCGAACTCACGGATCGCGAGATCATGACCTGAGCCGAAGTCGGCCGCTTAACCGACTGAGCCACCCAGGCACCCCATGTGGAAGGGAAGTTTAATTCACGCATAGAGTAAGACCTTCGTGACTGCTGAGGTAGATAAAAGTACTGAGTGTTTGTTTTCAAGCTCCAGATCTGCGTGTGTTTAAGGCATGACTTTCACATTTCATCCTCGCCAAGGATTTTTTAACCTGGGTCCAAGTCCCCCTTCGCAGAGTAGTGGAGCTCCTTTGTGACACCGGGAGATTGTGTCACCCTGGCGGGGGTATTTGACCCTGGGACTTTTTGCTAAATAGGGATGTTATGCCTTGTGCGTCTGCACCGATCCCAGCTGCTGCTTTCTGCAAAGTCTGCTGTAGTTCATGGGTCCGTGAAAGAGTGGTGGGGAAGAGGGGGGAGAGTTTGGTTTTATCGCCTAGGGAACGAGGCATTTCTCAGTTAGACATGGGCCATGTGCTGTTACTGTCGTGTTAAGTTTAGATGGTGCTGGGCATTTGGTCCAGATAAAAGCACCAAATCCCACTCTGGACCATAGAATGCACCTTTTGTTATTATCTGTTCGTCCAAAATAGATCAGAGGTCCCCAGTGTTAAGTGCTGGGAGGGGCTCCTGCAGAGATAAAGCAGGGCTTCTTCTCAGGGGCCTGTGGCGTTGGGGAACGGATGGGACAGCAAAGGAGGGAATCGATCCCAAGATGGCAGGTGTAAGCTGTCCGGTGCTCATGAGAGTGGAACGAGGGTGCAGACCTTTCTGTTGGCATTACCTCCACACAAAAGCAGTTGACCTCCCTGGGCTGATTTCCCTGAAGACTGCTTGTGTGTCCCCCGGGGCCACCAGGAGGGCCTTACTGCCTTTTTCCGGCAGCGTGAAGGATCCGAGCTGGAGCGGCTGTGCTGTCCTCTCCCTTGCTCCTACAGGTTAGCTGCTAGGGCCTGGTGTAGCCTGCGTCTGGCCTCTCCTTGTCACATGGGGTCTCCAGTGCCACCCTGCCAACACAAGATGCCAGCACAGATGGGGCACTTAACAGGAGCTCACGCCAGGGCAGTGTGGCTTCTGGCCCGTGGAGCGGCCGAAGCAGAGAACTGTCGATGCTCATCTCACTTGCACTTGCTCCCTAACTGAGTCTTTCTGGTTTTCTTGGCAGGTTTAAGGGGCTCAAGCCGACTGTTATCCTTCTCTCCCGAGGAATTTCCGACGCTGAAAGCAGCTGGAGGGCAGGACAAGGCTGGCAAAGAAAGGGGCGTCTTAGATCTGTCGTATGGGCCAGGACCAAGCCTCCGCCCTCAGAGTGAGTGAGCTGCAGTCCCTGTCCGGGCACCCGTGGGGACAGCGGGGCTCCCCTTCATCTTCCTGCCTCTCTGCCTGTTAGAAGCATACGTGTCCTCGGCAAGCCGAGCTCCCGGGGCCCAGGCTCCCTGCCTGGAAAGCATGGCTACTGACCCTTTGTCTGCTCTCTGCCTCTGTGGGATTTGCCCCCTAGGCTGGGCCGGAGGTCATTCCTCTCTTGTCCTTTGGGTTGGGCCAGGCCTGTCTGCTTCCCCAGCTGTCATCAGATGTGAGTTCTGCTCTGCTCAGGTGGTCCTGGCAAAGACAGACTGAGGGCGCGTTAACTCTGTCCCCGAGCCAGGAGCTTGTTTTCTAAGCCAGTGGTTCCTAAACCTAGCGGAGTCCTGTCAGGGTCCTTTGGGGAGTTTGTTAAAAAAGTCTGATTTCCAGCCCTCCTCCGTCCTCAGCCAAATTAGAATCTCTTGTGTGTGTGTGTGTGTTTTTTTTAAGTTTATTTATTTTGAGAGGGAGAGAGAGAGAGAGGGAGTGAGCTCATCCCTGGGGGAGGGGCAGAGAGAGAGGGAGGGCTCTGCACTATCAGTCAGCACAGAGACCCATTGCAGGGGCTTGAACCCATGAACTGTGAGATCATGACCCGAGCTGAAATCAAGAGTCGGACACTTAACCAACTGAGCTGCCCACGTGCCCCGAGAATCTCCGTTTTTTAACATGTTCCCTTGGGGATTGTTTGGTAGCCAGTCTAGGATTTGTCTCCACAGTTCCCTCACCTGGGGTCTAGCCAAGGAGTTGGCAGGATTATATAGCAATACTTGCAGGTAGGATTTTCTTTTTAGTGGCCTTGAGCGGTTAGAGGTTAAGGTTTTTTGAGGAATGAGATTTTTCCTTCTGTTCTAAGCAAGGATTGTGAAATAGCTCTTATGTATTTTGTTTGTTTGGGAAGGGGGGGAGGGGAGGGCTTGATCAGGTCTTGAAATGGAGGGACTTTTGTCTGCCTGTCCTGATTAATCCCCAAGGTATCCCGGGGTTAGAGGTAGAACTGACACCCTATAAAGGAAATGATCACTAGGTGGCTCCTTAATGAGCATGCTACCTTTTCAGGGGCCTGTGGTGGGTTATTTTGTCTGCTCCAAATAGGTAACCAAATTCTCAGGCCGAGAACTGTATAGCTTTCTGGGATTAAGATGACCTGCTTTGTAGGACCACAGAAATTTAGACCTAGCAGAGGTTCCTGGGATCAGTTCCATCTCTTCATTTGAGGAGAAGGAGAAGAAGCAGGAGTGGCCAGAGCAGTGGCCATAGGGCTTGCCCAAGGTCACACTCAAGGCGGTCATATTGCCGGGAGCTGACCCTGATTTTGTGGCTCCTGTGCTGTGTCTCTTTCTCTTGAGGGTCAGGTACTCAGGGGCTTCATGTTTCACCTCGTAGCCATACGTTGACTGAGAAGGGGCAGGCTTATCTGATTTCTCATTGGCCTGTAATTCCCCCACATCTTGCTATGTTTGGCAGTGGGAAACGTCATCTTAGAAAGGTCGATAGGTGGGAAGGTTTTAATCTGTGACCTGCAGGAGAGCCCTATGGGCTGGAGCAGGACTAATTCGGGTGAAGGCCTGGTGGGTAGGGCCCCAGACCCTTTCATGCCCCCACTTGGAGGGAGAGGGGCTCTGCTTCTTATGACCTGGGGAGTCTGTCTGACTAGAGATGTCACCTTGAATCAGAGTTGAAACATGTCAGGACTTACTCCAGTTTTAAAGATTTCATTTTTAAGTAATCTCTACACCCAGAGTGGGGCTCAGACTCACAGCCCTGAGGTCAACAGTTGCACGCTCCTCTAGCCAGGTACCATAGGACTCGGTCCAGTTTTAACGTGAAGGCCAGTGCTGCTCCTGACGGGTCAGTGATCGTGGGAGAAATGGCCCAACGCTGTTTCATCCGGGCTGTCCTGATTTCTTTGGGGTGGTCGATCTGTGGGTGTGCGTGGTTTATATTCACCCATGAAGACCACGTCTTGCTTCTACCTGCCTTCTCTGTGAGTGGACCTTATTTTGTGTTTCTCTTTACGCCCGACTTCCCGCAGCAAGTTCATGCTCATTGGCCAGGTGTCCGTCCTCCACCTTCCGTGACAGATTCGACCACTTGACTCGACTCTGCACTTTTGGGGCTTTTGTTTTTGGTGAATGAGGGGGTCCCTTGACCTTCAGACCCTCATACAATCCCTCCTCCCCCCCTCCTCTTTCCTTTCCCCTTTTGCCCCCTTTCGATTTCCAGATGTGACAAGCTGGAGGGAGGGCGGTGGGCGAAACATAATTTCTGCCACGTCTCTGAGCGCCTCCCCGACTGAGCTGGGCAGCAGGAACTCGAGTGCGGGAGACGGAGCCCCCTCCTCGGCATGCACCAGCGATTCTAAGGACCCCTCTCTCCGCCCGGCTCAGCCTGTCCGCAAAGGGGCTTCACAGTTCATGGGAAATGTATACCACCCACCTACATACCATGACATGCTTCCTGCTTTTGTAAGTTTTCAGAGTGTGCATATCTTTTTTTCCCATGGAGTCGGATTGCTTGCGAAGGCAGAACCTACTCTAAGTGGTTGAATATCCACCTCGGTTCCCCCTCCCAGTGTCTTTGCCCCGATATACCCTGCCTTGGAAGTGCCCGTTACTTCTGCGTTTGCTCTCCCCCTTTTCAGATCTTAAGGGTCTTTGGCTTCTTTCCCTGGTGATGTAGATACTGTTTCAGCCTTGGTTCTTTAGAAAAAGGAGAGGCAGGCATTGCCCCGGACACCACAAGTCCCCAGGTTCACTTACTGACGGCAGGAAACAGATGGGGGAGATGGTGGTAGGATTAACTGGGAAGTTCCAAGACTTGCCTGTCTCTTTTTCCCATTTTCTATTTTTCCCAAACAAATTGGAATGCAAGGGGAACTTAGAATTTGAGCCATTACTGGAAAACCCTGTTCATTGATGTTATGTTTCAGATGTGTTCGCCACAGTCATCAGAGAACCAGGGTACCGTGGAACGAGGACCTTTCCCCCTCCCCCAGCTCCGTCTTGAGCCCCGTGTCCCTTTTAGACAGTTCCAGATGAATGACCAAGATGGGTAAGGCTACTGCATTAATAGTCCCATGTGTAGAAATTGCCCCCGGTGGTTGTATTGCACAACATCGTGGGCTCATGTGCGAAGGTGTCTTGTCTCCTGGAGACTCTGAAAACCAACTCAGAGCTCAGAGTCCTGGAGACTCTGAAAACCAACTCAGAGCTCCAGGGTGTGTGGGGTGGCTGGGATCTGGAGCTAGACGAGGTTGTATTATGATCGCAAGTTCTTGACAGAGTTGGAAGTTTTGGCATGTGTTTGTGGCTGCTACGCTGGGCATTAGTGCCGAGTGTATAAAACTGTGGAATGAGGCGATACTCTCTGGGACGTATTTGTTCGGCATAGGTTTCTTTTATCTTTTCATTATTAGTTTCTTTTAACTTTTTTAAGTTTCTTCATTTATTTTGAGAGACAGAGACCATGCGAGTGGGGGAGGGGTAGAGAAAGAGGGAGACGGAATCCCGAGCAGGCTCCGCACTGCCAGCGCAGAGCCCGCCGTGGGGCTCAAACCTGCAAAACCGAGAGATCATGACCTGACCCGGAACCAAGAGTCGGACGCTTAACCGACTGAGCACCACCCCCCCCAGGCGCCCCCG